AAACAGTAGGGCTGGAGAGATGGCTCAGTGGTTAAGAGCACTGGCTGTTCTTAACAGCCAGGGAATCTGATGCTCTTTTCTGACCTATGAGGGCATTACATGACATGGGTGCACATACTTACATGCAGTCAATATACTCATACACATAAAATAAAAATAATAAAAAATATTTCTTAAAAAACAGAATGAACCAGGGATACAAAGTAACTAATCTGTATAATCCCAACCAAAACTATGAGCTGTAAACCAATTTTTTAAAACTGTGCTTCCCACTATAGACTTATTAATTCTATGGTATATTCTATGGTATAAAACTAATAGCTACAGTATTCTTGAAAGGTGTAAAGAGTAGTAACTACATAAATCTGTATCACAATAGAGTAGTTTAGTTTAAAAAAAATAATTGCCTTATTTTATTGTGTGACACATCAGTAGATTTACTTTTCAACAGGTTTTGGTGACAGTTTTTCAGTTACCTTTGGAAGATCTTTTAAGTATTGCTTATGATCATTTTATATACTTAAAAAATTGGTAAAAGGATTTTTTGGCTCATTGCAAATTTTCCTGTGCTTTAACAATACGTTTTTGTTATTTTGCTGAAATCAATAAAATAAACATTATCTGCCACTTGATTAGGTAATTCATCTCTGAAAGCAATAAAGCAGCAACACTCATCTGACTCTTAATTTCCTAATCATAGTTTCAAAGGCTTTCAGAACTTTAGTCACAGCTTTGCACTGTGCTGTGGAAGGGCAGATTGTCTAAGAAGGCTGCCCTGAAACAAACACCTTGTCAAGCTGAGAGAATCAGGGGAGAGGAGCGGGATGAAGTGTTAACAGCTGCTGACATCCTGTCTAAAATTGAGGGCTAAAGGAGTTGGAGTAAGATAATGAATGGGCTTTAACCTGAAAGGTGAGAATGATTACTTAGGTATGCCCATCCTCTTGCCACCTAAAGGCTTCCTACTGCACAATTTTTTCACATATGAAAACTTATCTGTAATCTTTGGGTTCACTTCTTTGTTCCACTTACATGCAGGCTACTTCTATGGGTCTTAGAAATTTGCTGATCACCACTGAATACAAAATGGGGTCAAGAAACAGTGCAGGATTCCTTGCTTCAGTAACCGCTTTTAGGCACTTTCTAGGAGGTCCAAGGTCTTCTGGTCTGCAATACTATGTTCCTCAAAAAGAAAGTCCTTGGATAAGTGCAGCGGGGAACAAACAGGAAAAAGTTTCACCTTTGAAAAGCAGATATAATTCAAAGTATACAACTCACTACTTAATGTACTCACGTTTGTGCCACAATCACCTTTGTGCTCTTTAGCTTTTACCTCCCTATTAGCCCTAAACAACCATTAATCTTATCTGTATGGCTAGGGCCATTCTGGACATTTCACAGTGAAACAAATGGCTTTGTTTTATTCTACTTAATATGTTTGCAAGACTTACCCATATTGTAGCATCATCACTATTTCATTGTTTTTAAACAAATAAATTTGATTATATGATTGATTTTATCCATCAGTTAATGGATATTGGAATTGTTTCTGCCTTTTGGCTATTAATAATTCTAATTTAAACATTCATGTACAAATTTTTGCATGGAAATAATATTTTCATTTATGCAGGAGCGAAATTGCTGGATTCTAATGTAGTGGTCTAACCATTTAAGGAATTTCCTGTGTTTCAAAGTGGCTTCGTTATTGTGCATTCCGTCTAGCACTGTATGAGAGTTCTAAATTCTCTATATCCTCAGTACTTCCTTCTCATTAGAATTCTTGATTCTAGCCTTATTAGTGAATATAAAAGTAGTATCTCACTTTGGTTTTGATTTGCAATACCCAGTAATGTATACTGACCATTAGTGTATTTTTTCCTTGGAAAAATGGTTATTCAGGTTTTTGTCCATATTTCAATTGGGTTCTATATTATTAGGTTGTAATGTGGTTTTTTAAAATATTTTGGATATAAGTCCCTTACTAAATAATTTGTCATTGTTCTTTCACATTCTGTCAGCAGTCTCTTTCTGATGGTATGTGAAGCACAAGCTTCCAATTTTAATGAAATCCAGTTTCTTCTGCTGATTTTGCTTTAAGTCACAGCTAAGAATCCATTGCCAAATCAGAGGTAGTGATTTCCCCCAGCTTTCCTCTAAAAGTTTTGTAATTTTCACAGATTAAGCCTGTGATCCATTTATTTTTACATTGTATGAGGTCAAGGTTAAATTTCATTCATTTATGGCTGGAAAGGTGGTTAAGAGAACTGGTTGCTCTTGCAGAGGACCCAGATTCAATTTCCAGCACCCACATGGTAGCTAACAATTGTAAGCTAACTCCAGTTCCAGGGCATCCAGCGCCCTCTTCTGATGTATCCAGGCACTGCACGACATGGGTGCACCTACATACATCCAGGCAATATACTCATACACATAAAATTATTTTAAATTTCACTCATTTATATTAGAATTTCCATTTGTCACCTCACCATTTAAAGAGATCGTTCTTGCCCTGTGAGTAGCCTTGGCACCTCTGTTCAAAATCAGTTTTAATTTCTGGAGTCTTACTGATCAGAGCCTGCCCTTTTCTTTATGGCTTCCTTTGGGGGGGGGGTAACTCCTTTCTGGTTAGCAACTGTCTTAGGAAGTCTTAACAACTAAGTAAAGAATTCCTATCCTTAGAAGTCACTCAGCCTCTTAAGGTATCCTCCTGTTCTCTATATCTCTTAGAGATGGTTATTATGAAATTCAGAATTGTATCAAACCATGGTGCTGTTTGACCAGCAGTTGCTAA